AGTATTTTATATTCAAATGTAAATTAAGAAAAAATAAAAAAATAACATTAAAAATTAATGGTTAAATAATTACATTAAATATAAAGCTATTAAAATAAAATAAATAAAAAAATAAAATTAAAAATGAATTGTAAAATAATTACAATGAAATATATTTCGTCTAACTAGAAAAGAAAATATCGATCAAAAATGTTAGAAAGTAACCAAAAATTATTGTTACTCTGAATACAATAAAATACCATAAATCTATCAACTTAATAATAAAAATACATACGATCAAATTTTGCAATTAAATGAAATTGTATAAATTCATATCGATTGAGAACAGTTAATGCGTCAAAATCCATACCTCAAGTTTAGCATACCTCTGATGATAACGCGCAAATCGATAAAAGTGATGCGCTCGCGTGCGCAATAGAGTGGCATAATCGAGAGATGAATAGATCAGGAGAATGAAGGTGTACGATTTACCATACACACATATATAACACATTTGAAACATGCATATTCTCAAACAAGCAAATGTACATGCGTGTACGTGTACACACATATGCATACGCACACAGAAACACGTTCTCAGAGACACGCACATGCGCATAGGTTTTCACGCACGCACTCACACGCATGTGTACGTCGATATTCGACGATTATATTCGCTTCTATCGTTGGTAACTTGCATTCGAAATCGTCCTATCGTCGATCACTGAGACCAATTTCGAACGTTACCATGGTCCTTTGATTGCTTATCCATCATATGACGCGTACATCGTTATGGCTTATTTATTACCATGAACTTTTTCCATTCTTATTCATTTCTATACTTTAAAAAGAAACTTATTCATCAATGGATTTTCAATTCTATGTGTTGCGTCGTATTATTATTCGCTATTCACATATTCTTTATAATGTTAAATATTATAATTATTATTTGAATTATTATTGGAAATTATATTTTATATTGTAGTACACACAAATTGTCAAGGAATAATTTATGACTTTTAAAAGGAATTATTTTTCTTTCAATTGATGTTATTTATTTTTCTTTATGTGTGTTACTATCTTTTTAATTTTATTTTAAATCAATATAATAATTGCAGTGAGATAATAAAAATATCTATTATTATTATTATTATTATTATTATTTAAATTATTATTACAAATTATATATAATATTGTAGCAAAAGAAAATTGTCAATGAATAATGTTATGACTGTTAAAAGAAATAATTTTCTTCGAATTAAAGTGCAATTTAATTTTCTTCGCGTTTCTCTTTCTTTTTATTTTATTTTAAATTAAAATAATATTGCACTGAGACAATATAAAAAAAAAAAATCTTTAAAAATTATATCGTTTATTTAAATAAATTTATATTTTTCTTTGTGTTTATCTTTCTTGTTTATCCTTTCAATTAAAATAATATTACATTAGGGCAATACAAAAATCTGAAAAAAAAAACAAATTATATCGTGTATATTAAAATAAATAAAATTTTTTTTTAATATCATTTTAATTAAAAAATTCTTTATATATCGATAAAACAAATATATTTAATATGCTTGTGAAGTATACTTTAAAGGTACGATCCTTTAATCAAACGTAAACGTTTAAATACCGCTTGTCCGTGAAGTAATAAGATAATAAAAACGTTGATCTCGATACGATCGATAGATCATTCATTTCTTGGTGTTCTCGATCAACAACAACTTACATTAGCCAGCCCCGGAGCTAAATGTCCCAACCAAGAGAGATGAAAGAGAAAAAGAAAAATAATCTTGGTGGTTGTCGCGCACGTTGAGAATAATAATTTTCACAAGAGAGAACGAGAGAGAGAGAAAGAGAGAGAGAGAGAGAGAGAGAGAAAGAGAGAGAATTTATTTTCCAATAGATAGAAAGATCTACTATATCGATAATGGTATATCGATCAAGCTACCAACAACGGGGAATCTCTTTCTATATCTTTCCTAACAACCCGGAAATATCCAAGTAAAGAATCCGATCGATCTATAGATCTTCCAGGGATCTATCGATCCAATACCATCGATTGACGTGAAAACGGGCGTTGTTCTTTCCACGCCTGCGTAAATTGAAAAATATCATTCGATCGAGCATATCCTTTTGGATCCTTGCTTGGATCATTTGCTATATCAAGAAAGAGAAAAAAGATTGATAGAAGTGAAGACTGGAATAAAGAAAAGTACCGGTGTGATTTCTTTTAAGAAATGCATGCTGCATAGCTTTTTCTACTAAATGATAGTATTACCACGTAGAAACTTTCTATGTGATTTAAGGACATTGTAAACCGACACCCTTCTTCCTATTATTACGAGATTCTTTATTTTTTTTTTTTTTATATATATATATGTTACTATGTTTTACACGCTTGATATATTTTACTTATATAATATATTGTTATTATTATTTGTTTTTGTTTTTTTTTTTTTTTTCTATTTGTTTGAATATCTAAAGAAACACGATCATTATTATGTTCATGCGACAATATTATTATCAGATTAAAAAATTCATTTGAAAAAAGTCAATGAGAAATAAAAAATTGTTTTTTACAAACTTTCTAAAACCATGTGGTGTGATTTTGTTTCCAACGAATAGAAACGAACGATAGTGATCAAGTTAAAACACATCCTTCACATCCTAACAAACGTGGGTAACGTCAAACACCTATAGATACCATGATAATTAGATAAACATGATAAACAGAAGTAGACGGTGGGGGGACGGGGGTGAGGATAGATGGGAGGTGGGATACGATGAAAGGGCTCGTCTAATAATTTTCCCCAAGATAATCTCTCGTCCCACGGTTGGTGGTGATGGTGGTGGTTATGGTAGGGTGAACGTAATTTCACGATTTGTCAGTCGATAAATCGTTTCCGCCGATCTACCGGCGGCGGCGTTTCGTATTCCCATTGTCAAGTGAAAATGTAGAGTAGTACCGAAGGTATTGCTGGTAACGGTGATTGTGGTGCCGGTTATTGTGTCATTGTTGGAACCCGCACTCGAAAATGGAAATGGTCATGTCGTTTAAATAGTCCTACAAAATCCCCATAATCCTCGATAATCCCGTACGCTATAAACCCTACAACTTCCCACCCCCAACACAATTTTAACTTTCCTACCCATGAAAACAAGAGATTTTTACGATTACCTGATATGAGGTATGATTTTTTTTTTTTTTTGGTTGGATAAAGAGTATGGGATAATTGTCATGTATAATCGAGATTAAAGTGTTTTCCGATTATTAACACAGGTTCAAATAAAATCCAATAAAATAATATAATAAATTGAGTCGTGTTTTTTATATTTATGTTTAATTAAACCCTTTGCTTACTTGGGCGAAGTTACGATGGACGTGTCTGACTCGTCATCTGAATTTCAGAAGCTTATATTAATATATATAAATAGTTTTCTATTTTGTTTCATTTATATATATACTTTGTTAATTTAAATGTTATTGCAAAAATATATTTATATCACCAATAATAATATATTCCAAATAAAAAATTATATCCATATATAATTACAATAACACAATATATAATAATAATTAATATGAATAATTGTAATAATAATTACAATTAATCATAAATAGGTAAACGTAATTATTAATTATAAATCATCTACGATCAAAACTAAATTTATAATATTTATTCGCAATGATGTTATATCGAGTTTTGTGATTTCTAATTATATCAAATAATTTTAATAGATAATAAATATTTCAAAATACTTTATTTAAAACGAAACTAAATTTCTCCTCTTAGAACACGAATTAAAACCCACAGTTTGATTTACACAAATTGCAATAATTAATATCAGATATTTCTAATATAATCAATATTTCAATATATTTCATTTGAAACGAAATTAAATTTAGAACTCTTAGAACGCGAATTAAAATATAACTTCAATTTTGATTTACAGAAATTGGAGAATACGTGGAGAAATTACCTGGCCGCACTTCTTATCAACGTGTGAGAAATAATTCGACGTAAACGATGATCTAAAAGAAAGACAACGAAAGTCGGGTCGGTTTTACCTCAGAGAAATATCACGTGATGAGAATTTGATAAGTAACGGGATAGTAAAGCCAAAAACAAAAAAAGAAAAAAAGAAAACAAGTGAAAGAAGAAGAAGAAGAAGAAAGAATTCTTTGGTTATCGAATCCTGTTAAAAAGAAGAATAAGAAAAGGAAGCATCATCTCTCTTTTCTTGGATCAATCGGTGAAGATGTGGATCGAGAGGATCGGTATTGGAAGTTTTCTTCAAAAAACTAGATCGATTTACGATTCCGCGGTTGAATAAAAAAAAGAAAGGAAGAAAGAAAGAAAGAAAGAAAGGAAGAACGAAAAAAAGAAAGATAAAAAGAAAAACCGTAGGAGGAAGTATAGAGGAATTCTTGACACGTAGTCACGTAGGACGCTTTTGAAATTCAAGAAGACCTTACCCATCGTTTCCGTAGGAAAACTGAACAAGAGTCTCTGTTTTCGAATTTGCTGGATGGAAAAGAATAAGGAGAGTAATAAGAAGAAGAAGAAGAAGAAGAAAAAGGAAAGATTTAAGAGAAGAAAGAGAAAGAAGATGTTAGAAATAACTCACAAGACTTGGTTCAATTAACGGGTTCACCTAGTTCCGAAGAATCCTCCAAAAAAAAAAAAAAAAAACAACCAACGACAAAAATAATTCAAGAAATAACTCAAGATTATTATTGGAGGACCAAAATTGCAATACCCATCTTTCACAATTTCTAATGGTTAATGAAAAGTAGTAGTAGTTCGTTTATTTATTTTTTTTTCAAAATGGGGGACTCATTTTTTGCAATAGAAAAGTATTAAAAAGCGAATGGGTATACGAGCGCGTTCCTATAATAGTCTCGAGAAAGAACGAAAGGGCGTAAGGGACTTAAATACTGCAACAATTAATAATATGTGTTTTGGAGGTTTGCCTCGAGTTGGAAGTAGTCGCGAGTGGCCCGCCAATTTTCAACCTGGTATGGGCATGCTCTTACCGGATGAAACATACGAGGAACGTTCCTCCTTTAATTCAATAAACAATAATACTACTGAAGATCTTTTTGATGATATCGATGAATACGAAGCTGCCAAAGCGTTAGCCGTTTTACAAAAGTGCGACGATTTTTTGAAGAGGAACGGCATCAGGCCCGAATTTTTCTGCAAACATCGAGAAAAATTGGCACTGCAGAGTTGGCTACTACAAAAATCTAAATTGTCTTCAGGTAAGTTTCATTATCTCGTTTTGTACTTTTATAGTTATATAGAATATTTATATTTATTTTTGACTGTTCATTTATTTTGTTAGATACATTTATTGTTTTATATTTAAAATATTGGGTTGTACAGAAAGTTCGTGCAGATTTTGACGAAAGATTGAAATGAAACGCGTTTCAGTTTCTTTTTATTTTTGGTACTATATAAATTAAATATAATATATACTAATAATATACTATAATACTATAATTAATATACTATATATTATATTATAGTAAAAATATATTAGTAATTTATAATTAGTAATTTATATACTTAGTAATATATAATAATATTTCATGTATATTATAATTAGTATTTATATAATTAGCAATATAATATATTAGTATATAATTATAAATTATACTATATAATATATACTATATAAAATTAAATATATTCTTACATATATATATATATTAAATTAAAAATATAAGTGTCATTCGCGTTTCCACAATCTTTTCTCCATCTATAAGGGTAACTTCAAAATTTCGCCTTTCTCATAACTTGCCAGGTTTTTTTTTTTTAGCAAAAGAACTTCATACCATCTATCGAAAATTGGCACGAACATTTCGGACAACCCAATATAAATTATGTATAATATATAGAAATTCTCTCTCTCTCTCTCTCTCTCTCTGAAAAGAAATGATTTATTTCTCAGTATTACGATTTGAATGAATAATTAATATATGAATAATTAATATATGATTAATCAATGATAATATATATATATATATATATTTTTCACGACAAGATTCAGTTCTATATTTAAACTCACTGCTCACACGAGAATATTCTGCAAGTACTACTACTACTACTACTACTATTACTACTATCCCACTGGCACGAATCGTTATAATTGATTTAAATGCTGGAACATTAAGCGAGAGGAATATTCCCCGTGCTTGGATAAACTATAAATGTAAAGCTTCATTTTGTCCGGCGCGTGCACGTTAATTGCAATGCCGTTTACCTTTGTCGCGACGATTACCTCCCATTTACGAGAGTACACCCGATGTTTATTTCCAGGAACAAACATTTTCCATTTCTCTGCTATTTTGTTTATATTTTATGTTGTTATTTTTTAGTTATTTTTTTTTTATTTCTTTTTGTTCAAATTTGTTTAAATCATACAAACATAATCTACTCCCTAAATCCCTGCCCCTCAGATATTAACATTACGTTGGGACCTATTTTTTTTTTTTTTTTCATATTCGTTTCTTAGTTTCTTTCTTAATTTTATCTTTTGCATAGAAAAATTTAACAATTCCCTATTGAATATATGAATTAATTTATTGTACAATACTTTTAACATATATTATTTATAATATATGTATAAGTAATGTTAAATCTTAAAAAATAGTAATTTTTCAAAATAACTATTACTAATAATATAATATAATTAATTTAATATGAATAAAATATATTATATAATTCAGATTGTCCTGATAGCTCAATTGGTTAAAAAAGCAGTCGCGCGTAAAGCGCGAAAGATTGATATTCCGGGTTCGAGTCCCGGTCAGGGCAAGGCCACTACTTGTGTTCAATTTTTTTCACGAAGCTTACATGTAAAATATTCAAAAATATTATTATAATATAATATATAATTTAAATATATATAATAATATAAAATATATATTAATATATAAATATTATATAATTATACTTTAATATTTAAATATCAAAAAATTATATATTTAAATATTATAATAATATAATTATAATATAATATATAATAATATTAAATAAAATATTTAAATATTATAATAATATAGTATAAAGATTATATATTATATAACTTTGAAATAAAACCAGAATTGAACTTAAGTTAAATCTCGTCTCAGTTTCACTGACGTTATAAGAACCCAACAAATAATATAATATAATAATAATATAATTTATTATATTATATTAATAATAATAATATATATACTTTACTATATGAATTTATAAACCAATTATACTTCAACATACTATTAACATATATAAGCCAATAATACTTTAACATATATTACTATATGTATTTGTTCTTACAATTAATTTGAAAATAGAAAAGATTGATCTACTATATCTACTTATATTAAATTCGTGATCTATGATTGTCTATCTATATCTCTCTTTCAATCTCATTCACTGTAACTCTTTTTTTACGAGTTACGCGAGTTATAGAACTCGAAACATCGAAATATTACACGGTGTATTTCGACGCAGCAGTTTAAGAGCAAGTGCACGCTACAACTATATCATCATCAAGAGGAGTCGAGTTAACGTTGCGAGGAACTAGTTGCTCGTATCAGCAAGAGACCAGCAATACCGGTGCATTCATGGTAATATTGTCTAGCACGCAGGACGCGTGCACGCTAACTTTTGCAAATGTTATTGGTTTATATACACATATATATATGTACGATATAATATACTAGGTGAGTCAGTTTAAGTCAACCATACGAAATAACTTTAACAGTAATAATTTGTTAAAGTTATTTTAATGATAGGATCAATAAACGTTTCACGTAAAAGTTGTTTTATAATTGTTACATATTCTTAGAACTAATTTTTCATTCATGGTGAAAAGATTTAAAAAAAAAAAAAATTGCATATTCGTGATCTTTTAACTGTTGAAATTATCTTTAAAATGAAATTACAATTGTTGAAATATAAAAATGCATAATTTCATTTAAAAACGTCTACACCTGAAAACAAAAAGACAAAGTATAATTCTAGAAAATTACTCATTTGTTCGGTATTATCTCACTCACCCTGTATAATCATATTTATATACAAACGTATATATAATGTGTATGCATATACCTAACGCATGTATGTAATGCATACGTGTACATATATGTAAACTCATATGTGGATTGGTTTAATATCGCGTGATCATTTAAAAGATTTCTACGTTAAAACCAAAAAAGGGAAATTATCGGGTTAACATTTGTCGTTTTTCTCATCGAACCAAACTGACGACCATTCCGGGAAAATGTTGTGTAATTTTTAAACAAGCATACTTGTTTTTTCGAAACTCGTTTTGGTCGGTTATTTCTTTTTCAATAAACTCCCTAATGTTTTGAATATTTTTTTTCTCTTTCTTGTACTTTTACTTCTTTTTTTTCTTTCTTTTTTTTTTTTCTCAAGTATTACATTTTCCTAATTTTTATTTCTTATTCATATTTTATATAACTCTAAATTGTCTATCCCTTTATGTGAAGTATTGAAAATAAAAATATGATGATAGATTAAAAAAATAGTAGATCATCTACTATTACTACTACTACTACTACTACGTTCATTGTTCGGTTCTCACATCAGTGAATAATCCTCAAGGCTAGTCGAGCTTTTTTCTTACCAAGAGATATATAGAAGCGATACTATAATATCCGGTACAGTGAATGCTATAGCTTTTCTCCTTCGATGCTTTAAATCTCCCTCTTATTTTTCGCTGTCTCTCGTTCGCGATTCATAGATGCCGACTACACGTGGTAGAGACGCGATTAGCCTCCCGTCGGTTCTCGTTCTGCCCTTTCGACCTAACCCATCGTACTTGTTGCTCGATGATTAAGGACCTTCGAAATTCACGACTACTAAATCAATCGAGAGAGTGCAAATTGTTATTTTCTAATGATATCAATTTTTATCTTATTAAGATCGATGATTATTATAATTCTTAATCATAAATATTCATTATTTCATTTTATTTTATATTATATTATTTTATTTTATTATTTTTTTTTTAAGTTAGGAATATATAAATTTATGTTTTAACATGTTTAATACTATTTGAATTTGTTTTGTATTATTTATTACATAGATATTAGGTTGAACAATTATTTAGAACGAATAAGTTGCAGTATGTAATCACATGCAATAGATATATTATTTTATTTTATTTTTCTTTGCATTGGGAATTTATAAATATATTTTTTGAAGATTATATATATATATTTTTTGAACACGTTTAATACTATGTGAATTTTTCTTTTTTACTATTTATTACTTTGATATTATGATGAACAATTATTTAGAACGAATAAGTTTACATATTACATATTGCAATATGTAATCATGTGCAATGCATTCATTTTATTTAAAGGGATACGAACAAATTTATGTTAGTGCAATTTATCGGTTATCAACATTGCATTCGATATATAAAAAATATTTAATTATCAGCACATTATGTTAACTTTCGATCTTAATTTATTCAACATATTGTATATATATGTATATTCGTCAATTTATTTTGATTTATTATTATCGAAGTATTTGTGAATATTTAAATTATCATCGCGTAGTGCATCTCTCGCAATTTTATCGACGTATAATATCGACGATAAGAATTTTCTCGGAATGTATTAGATTCGCATAAAAAGCTTTAACATACCAATAGATTTTAACGAGATATAAAAATATGAATAGGAAATAAAAATTATGAAAAAGTCAAACTTGAGAAGAAAAAGAAAGAAGAAGAAGAAGAAGAAGAAGAAGAAGAAGCACAAGTAGTAAACTATATTATATAATTAATATACATATATATTAATATTAATTAATTATGATATAATATATTATATTATAATTAATATATTTATAATATAGTATTTTACTATCTCCCGATCCTATATATAATAATAATAATAATAATATATAATATAATATAATATAATATATGAACTATATTATACTATAGTGTGTTTGTGTTAAATTCTTTGATTTATTTTATTTCATTTTTCTTTTTACAAATTTTATTTAACGATTAATTTAATGATTTGATGAGAGAGAAAAAAAAAAAGAAAGAAAAAATACACCTACACGAGATGACGAGAGAAAAAGTCAAATAATGAAAATAAAGATGAATGGAGATGATATTAATAAAAGAACATTGAGCGTTAATTCAAAGAAGATTTGTTGTTTTACTCGGAAACTTTCTTTTAAAGAGCTGAGGGATTCTCTTCACTCTTTTGCCTACTTT